AGATACCATAAAGAAAAACACACAAACTTTAATTGACGCAAGTAAAGAGGTTGGCCTAGAAGTAAACACAGAGAAAACTAAGTATATGTTACTGTCTCGTCACCAAAATGCAGGACAAAATCATGACATAAAGATAGGAAACATATTGTGACATGTTGCGCAACGCAGGACCTCTACCTCCCAGCGGCATGTGGCGGTAACGTAGCGCTCGCATAATAGGCGAGTCATCACTCCGCCACTCTCCCCGCGGTGACGTCACGAGCAGAGCCGAAGTGAGCCGAGCAGAGCCGAAGTGAGCCGAGCAGAGCCGAAGTTAGCCGAGCCCCCGCAACCTGGTAGCTATGCAACGCGAGTCAACAGCGGTGACGTAACAGGATGACGTGGCACTCATTACGCAACAGGCAAACACTGCGGCTATATAAGTGAGCTGTCAGTTGTAACGTGACCATCGCTGAAGACAGTTTCGAGTTAGTTCCGAGCAAGCCTACGAGCGAGTGTGTTATCAAGAGTTCTCCAGTCAGCCGACTACAGTTGGAGTATAGCAGCCGTCGCGGAAAGAAGAACCGGACGTGTGTGTGATTGTGTAATTGGGAGTGTGTGATACAGTGATACACAGCTCCCCTACTGTAAACGTGTAGACTACTGAACACAGAGTGAACTGATTTGCGCATAGGGTTATAAATCGTGAAACCCCGCAACAGTGTTAACAGATTAATGCGATTAGGGTTATAAAGTGTGAAACCCCACAACTGTGTGATAAGTAATTGTAGCCGATATTTGTAGATTGTTCAATAAACCAATTAACGATCTCTACGGCATATTCAGTAACGTAAACACGTTACAATATGTTTTGAAAAGGTGGCACAGTTCAGATATTTGGGAACAATGATAACAGATCGAAACCTGATACAGGAGGAAATTAAGAGGCGATTGAACTCGCGTAATGCTTGCTACCATTCAGTCCAAAACCTTTTGTCTTCTCATATGTTGTCCAAAAACTTAAATTTAGAATATACAAAACTATAATTTTGCCTGTGGTTCTGTATGGGTGTGAAACCTGGTCTCTGACTTTAAGGGAGGAACACAGACTGAGGGTGTTTGAGAACTGAAGAGGGATGAAGTGACAGGAGGTTGGAGAAAACTGCATAATGAGGAGCTTCGTAACTTGTACTCTTCTCCAAGTGTAATTAGAATGATCAAGTCA